TTTTCTGGTCGTTAGAGCATAAAAGAGAAACATCTAACGTCTGTTGATTTGTTAATCGTAATCAAGGCTCAGCCCTACACCTAGCTGCAGTCGGAAAGACCAACACTAAAAGTCACTGTGATTTACAAAAATGAGTTAATTGCAGGTACGCTTGAGATCTAAGTGCCTCCCACAATGCTGCAATGCAAACTCCGTTCTTTCGATTATTATCAGCTTTTGTGTTGCACACCTTGACATCTACATTTAGTTGGTGATCTGATCAAATGGAAAGTGAAATTCAGAAAAGAGTTTACGAAAAAGAAGGCTTGCGGAACTTTACTGGCTATATAACTTATCCTGCAGTAAAATCATTTGATATTTGAGACCAACCAGGATGCCGGCGTGTCTACAAACGTCTTTAATTCGCTTGTTGAAATCACACTCGGTATTCAAAGATTAGTAAGTTAGCATTTATTTGGTAAGATATATTTTGTAGATGCGATTTTCAGCCTTCCCGCAGCTAAGCTCATCTTCTTAAAATGTATATACGCAAAGGAAAAGAGGTCAGCAACAATAGCAGAACAATAAAATATATTAAAGACGAACTTAACCTAAAAAGACAACGACAAACGGAAAGGCCAGATTTCTCTCATTAGAAGTCATCAGTCACAATTTGATATTAGCCCACGCACGGCTGCTGGTAGAGCTCAGAGCGCGTTCTAATACATAACAAGTCTAGTTTATTCCACAGGCGCCCATCCACCGGTAAAATTATATGCGTTTCTTACATTTTTTGTCATGATGGCCTCAATTCAGATGATTTCTTTCCCTATAAATGGATACATAATTAGTCTTAGTAACTTATGGGCCATTATTTTCACATACAGATTTATTTAGTCTGCCCATTTTTCAATGGAACTATTCCCTGAAAGGTAATTACGTAAATTGTTCTCGCATACTCTTGCACCTTATTTTAGGTTGATATCTACGGTGAAGCAGGGCGACCTTGCCCGGGCGTAGGTGGTAACTGTCTGGAAACACTTGCCCTTCACTATAAATTTTATCTTGCATTTGAAAATTCCAATTGCGTGGACTATATCACGGAGAAGTTTGTAATGAATGCACTGCAGTAAGTTTAAAAGACTAGTTGTGTGTTTTCCTTACAAAAATTAAATTTTGAAATACGGGCATCCCAAGATATTTAAATGAAAAGGGAAACGCTTCTTCGGGAAACTTGAAACTTTAATGTGTCAATGTTCTCAAAGTTGGCTCGCTAAAGTCTGCAATAATAGGCATTGCATACATTACGTCATCCTGCCGCGGTTTGCCGCGCGCGTTGCATTTTGGCCTTGAGATAAATATAGCTCGCGTCCAAATCGATGTGTCTCTTGATGCATGCGTCACCAGAGTGCATTGCCTCCAGGAATTCACGGCCTTTTCTGTTTGGCCAAGTGTGTTCTCCCACGTGAACTTGCGACCGGTTTCTACTGTGTGCATGGCCATCTGGGATATGTGGTCTCGTCTTCTGACCGTTAATTGAGGTTCGTGTATGCGGGTTGAGGCACATTTCCCAGTTTGGTCACAATAAACTACATCACAACTGGCGCACGGG